GTTCCCATCGGGGAAGAATTCTCCAAGGGGAAGGGATGTCTCCACAGAGGCCTGAGCGAGATTAGGACACAAGGAAGGGCTTGCTCTGCTCGAACTGGCACTCCGTCCCTCCCAACACTCAGCTGGGAGGGTGCCCTGCATTTTTATTTTCAGAAAAGTCTTGTTTGTTATAATTATGCTTTACACAAGTATGATACTTCAGTTCTCAGTTGAACTGCTGGCTGAACGTTACAACGCATCCTGGCTACCCCGTGAGAAAGCCAGCGAGGAAAGGATGGCAGACGTGAATGGAATTTGTAAAGGTGACTTTGTATCAGCCTGTGGGGTTCACAGACAGGGACAAGGCCACAGCGTCTGAGGTGTCTTTGCTTCGCAGGTGGGGCCTTCATGTCAGCACTGTCCACCAGAGTGGAGGGATCTGGAGAACACTGTAACCTGGCATTGCTTGTTGACATTTATATTCTGCTTGTATGCAGAAGTTAAGGATGTGCAACCCAAATGCCCAAACGTGCATCTGAAAACGTCTTTGTGACGACACTAGCGTCACCGGGGTGGCTTCTAAATTCTCCTTGTCATGCAGATACTGTTACTTATACCAAACTCCACACACCCTGTGTGTTTGTCCCCTCAGAAGGGTAGAACTTACAAAGCACACACTGTGCCAGCTAGAGGTTCGCCAACTTACTGCCTTCTACCCTTCATCTGGAGAAAACTGTGGTGGACGGAGCTAGCAGGTATTATTATAAAGGAAGAAAAGTAAATGTGTATTACAGAATAACTGATGATCTTAAAAAAAAAGCCCCAGGAAGTCTAGGGCAGATGAGGGGGGCCTCAAAGACTCAAGACTTGAGTATCCTATGTGGCATGGAAATAACTTTACCCCTGCCCCCCATTACCCGTCACTAGGTGCATGCCAACTGCTCCCCCACCCGCCATCACACAGAGACCCCCTGTGCCTCTTGGCTTTTGAGAAACTCCAGAGTCCCAGCTGGACCTGAATGATTAGGTGTGGGGCTATAGCTCACTCTCACTTATTCGGCTGATAGAGCGGCTTAAGCCTTCATAAGAACGTTAACATTTGGGTGCCAATAACAGATTGACCTTTATTCATAAAGTGCAAATAGTTGGAAGTCGAACAGATTGCTTGCCAGCGATTGCCTTTTATGTGCAGTTTAGGGCTTTGATTTCTCGCCTCTTTCTTCCTTTAATCTGACATCGCTGGCTTGAATAGCGTTCGCAGTCTAAGTAAACAGGGCCAGGGAAGGCCCCTGCTTTTGTAGCTTCGTTTGCTTGCCTGGAGAGGGGACAGAGACTGAGAGTGACTTTTAAAGATTTGCCTTCAGAATTCAACGATTTAAGAATGGCTCAGAAGCCCCCCAGACCGAATGGAGCTGGTGGGGGAGCTGAAAACTGAACTCGGGCAGTCCTTTGCATCTGAAATCAGCCCTGCGCACGGTAAGCGGGAAAGTAAGGATTTATATTAACTCTGCAAAGTTCACTCTGTGTCATACACAAAAGGGGCAACTCACAAACCACTGAGCCTGGGGATGGGAAACCAACCGGACCACACTCCAGGCCTCTGGGGCCCTCTCCTAGTCAGCTGTGATTGTCTCCAAGCACAGGGCTGTGCAGGGTGGATGAAGCCTTTCAAACAAACCTGCTCCTTTAAAGCATTCCAGGGAAAATACCTCTGAGGCAGGGGCCAACAGAGCATTTAATTCTAGATTTTTTTCCCCAGATTTATCTTGATGGTGTGTTGTTATTTTCAACAGTGCAGCCTACGCTTGATTACAAATGGAGTCTTTGTAACATTTTCATAGATAGTGTATGTAAACAGAAAGCTTCCCAGCAGCCACTTGTGACCAATTTAGAAATGATAGAGCCCTTGGTGAGTCACCAGGAAGTGGAAGATGAGAAGCCCTCATGAATAAGGCTGGGCCAGAGAAAGTAATTGGATGGGAATACCTCCCTGCTGGGGCTCTAAATAACCTTTACAAAAATCTTGGATGTCTGTCAGGAGTGCAGACATCTTTCTGATCCTGACAGTTGGCGTTGTGTTGGACGGAACGACTTCGGCTTTAGTGTTCATCATACCTAGCTCTGTACCCAGGCCTTGTTAATAGTCACTTACGCAAGGGATTCGTCTCAAAGTACCCTCAGTGCTGGGCCAGCCAGCGAGCAAACCTCCGAAGCTCTGAGGACCGCTCCTGATCTTCAGCAAGCAGCCAAGCTTAGTGTGTGGTTGAACGAACTGTTAACTTTCAATCCTGTCGCTGTCTTTGGTCTATGTGGAGAATACGACAAAAAGGACAGGAACTTTTGAAAACAGACTCATCCCACAGCCAAGCTCATGAAGACACTGCTGTGGTCATTGTCACTGTCAGGTCATTTATTTGGGTCCATATTAATAAGCTATCTCCAAGCGCGCAATGCTGGCCTCCTGGCGGCAAATGGATCTCATGTTTCTTTGACAATCCTACCATAGAGCGGATGCCTAACAAACTGCCCCTCCATTTACTCTTCTTCACTGGGAACTACCTCTGGCCAAGTGCAACAGCAACTAACAATCCTTTTCCATTAACCCCTCCATTCAGCCACAGTTTTACCAATTCCAGCTCTCGCTTATGAACCGAAGTCTCCTGTTCTGTTCTTACCTTGTCCCTGGACTGGTCTAGGTGTCACCAGTCATCTTCCAACTGAGAACCATGCACGCCGAGTTTCAGCCACTGTGCAAACTCATGCTGACAGATGCTCCCCAAACTTCTGCCATGCCGTGGCCCCTCTTTATGCCACAACATCTCTCTTCTTACAGGGTTTCTTGAAGAGTGACACAGGAAGGTGCATGAGTGGGAAGAATTTTTAAAAGAAATAAGCATCCTCCATAGTACTATGAGGTTCCTTTGGTTGATGGTTTTCCTTAACTCAGGCCTCCGTAAGACAGGGACTTCAGCATTTTGGCTAACTGGGTAGCCATCTTGCCCGGGTGGGGGGGGGGGAGCGGGAGCATGGATTCAGCCCACAAAAGAGATGATTGTAAAGGCCATAGATGGATCAGGGTTGCCACTGGAGAGGGGACAAAACCACTCAGACTTCTTCGGGAAGAACTTGTGCTGCCACCCAATAAAAAAGAGGGGCTTTTCTGCAGCTTCCAGATTACTAATGCCAAGCCTTTTCCTCCTCCTCCTCGTCTTCCTCCTCCCCCTCCTCCTCCTCCTCCTCCTCCTCCTTCTTCTCCTGGCACTTCATGGTGCCAGAGTCAAGCCCACAGCTTTGTGTGCGCTAGATATGCATTTTGCCACCAAGCTACCCCTTCAGCATTCAATGTCAGGCTTCAGAAGAATAAGAGCAGTAACTTCATATCTATGCTGTGGAATCCTGAACCAAAGGGTAGAAAACAATGAAGAGTTACAATTTACATACAAGTACAGGAGCATGCAGGACAATCTGGATTCCCCACGTGTCTAGATATAGACTCATTTAGGAGACGCATCTCTACCACTGTCTGATCCACCACGGTGGACTGGATCCCTTTAAACCACTGTCAGATCCACCATGGTGGACTGGATCCCTTTAAACCACTGTCAGATCCACCACGGTGGACTGGATCCCTTTAAACCACTATTGGATCCCCCACGGTGGACTGGATCCCTTTAAACCACTGTCTGACCCACCATGGTGCACTGGATCCCTTTAAACCACTGTCTGACCCACCACGGTGGACTGGATCCCTTTAAACCACTATTGGATCCACCACGGTGGACTGGATCCCTTTAAACCACTGTCGGATCCACCATGGTGGACTGGATCCCTTTAAACCACTGTCGGATCCACCATGGTGGACTGGATCCCTTTAAACTGTAAACTCAAATACATCCTTCCTTCCTTGAGCTGCTTCTGTCTGATATTTTCCTCACAGCAATAAGAGAAGTAACTAAGAGAAGACAAGGCCACCATGCAGAAGAACAGAGGAATGAGGACTAATGAGATGTTAGGTTTAAGGCACCTTCACAAGTCCTTGGAGTCACTCAAAAGCAGAGGGAGACACTCAGGGACTTAAAGCTCATCGTTGCTCTCAGGTCCCGTGACCTCTGGCCCCCAAGTCTGTGACCCAGCCAGAGCCAGGGCACGGTGTGTATTCTCGGTGGCAAAGCATTAGTTTCATTGTTTTTCCTCACGGCTTTCCCTTCCACCACCAGAGCCTGCCATGCCAACTGGCTTTGAAGCCAAGTCATTTACAAGAGGGAAAGATTTCAAAAAGATTATGAATGTGATTTTAAATGTCTACTGAAATACACAGAGAGTCTTCATTGTCGAGGAGGAAAGGCTTTAAATAGGTATCTTTAAATAAATCCCTCATAACCGGGACTTGGCAGGCCAGAGCTGCCACGCAGGAGTCCTGGGAGAGCAGGCTTGCCGTGGATGGGAAGTGTCTGCGCTGACGGGAGCCCTGAGTTTCTGGTCTGATTCACTACTTAGGAGGCTCTCGCTAATTAGTAGCTAGCTGATGATGTACAAAAGGAGAGAGTTTTGTTTCAACTTGAATGGTGACCGTCTTTTCAATTCCACTTCTTCTGTGAAAACTGGGAAATTCTACAACAATCTCCAAACAGCAGATTGTTTGTTTGAAGGCTCCCTCTCAGGCCAAAAGCCTTCATTTTTATGCCCCGTATCTGCTGAATATGGAGCTGTGGGGACCCTAAAGTTTGTATAGAAAAAGAACAGAAGAAGATGTAGGTTTTTAGACATTTAGGGAAGTTTTGGCAGCAGGGGTAGATAGGGAGGAACAAACCATGTCAAAACTGAGAGAATGACTTAAATAAAGTCTTAATGCCACAAAGCTAAAAGTTATCCAAGAGACCTTGAATGGTGTGGAAATCGATGTCCACAGCAGAGTCTCCGTGTCTCCGTGGGGTAAAATTTTGTTGAATGAATGAATCCTCTCGATATCACCTTACTTCAGTCAATGCTGGTGTTTTCAACTCTAACCTTCCTACACTCAGCTCAGCCAAAGGACTGGTGGGTCGCCACTGCTAAAGATGTTGAAGAATGAGTTGCAACGGCAGCCCTCGTCCACCCTGCAGGAGATGCATGGTCAACTGCACTAAAGGAAGAAGGCATGACATCAAAGACAGGTACAGCCAGCCAGCAGCTAGGCCGCCACTGTGAGTTCTGGGTTGCAATGCTTGGCTCGGGGCGGGAGGGGTGAGGGAGGGTCCTCTAGCACAGTCAGCAAGGAGGGCACCCACTGCAGCTGCGCGGGGGCAATGCCCACAGGGACAGGGCCATCCAGCCTTTTGACACAGCTCTTTTAATAAAGTAAGAAGAGCAAGGATTCATTTTCTTGCCGATAAATGTTTTTAAAAGGAGTCTTTCAGCCACACATCATCTCAGACTCCGTTTTCAGGGACGATGGTCTGGAGATGCACTAAAGAGCTGAAAGATGTCACTAACATAGTACTTCAGTGTTTCTTACTTAAGGTTAAAGGCCAGGTCATAGTCTTGTTATCACACACACACACACACACACACACACACACACACACACACACACTCATGCCCATGTACACACACCTATCAGATTACTAACTGAATGACTGGATGAGGGGATGCTATGGTGAATGCCAGTCAGGCATGGGTTTCACAGAATTCATTTCATTTAGGGCTGACCCAAACTGATGCTTCTAGAGTCAGGTGGTAGATTGGAGAAGTGAACTAGGCATTAAACATTATTCTTGTTTGCTTCCCTTTGGGGTTTTGTTTGTTTGTTTTGAGACAGGGCTTCACACTATAGCAGGATAGTTTGGAACTTCCTACAGAGTCCAGGCTAGCCTCAAATTCACAGTAATTCTCCTGCCCAAGCCTTTTAAGTGCTGGGAAACCCTCCTGCCTCAGGCTTTCAAATGCTAGAATTTGAAATAAACATGAGCCTGCACAGTGAGTTAAAACATTATTCTCAAAAATCTCTTAAAGCACTTAGATACACAGAGCTGGAAGTTAGATGCTCAAATCTAGAACTTAGATGGACAAATCTAGAACTTAGGTACACAAAGCTGGAAGTTAGATGCTTAAATCTAGAACGTAAATGGACAAATCTAGAACTTAGATGGACAAACCTAGATATCTTTGCAAGACTTCAGCTGAGAGACTCCCAGTGCTCAGGACTCCAGTGTGTTAAGGACAGGGCCTCATGGGCTATCTTGGGGCCATGAGTTTTCTCTCCTTGGGAGGAAAAGAGAGACAGATGGAGCCCACTCTCCTTGGTCCCTGGTCTGGATCCCCCAAATGACTACTCTTACCCTCATTTCTCCTGTTAGAACCACTTCCTGTGCAGGCAAAAATAAAAACAGTTCAAAAGTAGAGACTCCTGTGCATTAATAAGTAAACATCAATGAGAGAAGTGGTAGACATCGAGCAATCACTTCCACTCCAGTGAAATCACACCTGGATCACTAGCATCTGTGTAAACAGATCAGACGAAGCCTAGGCACAATCAATTGAACAGGGATCTGTCAGCATTACAGAAAGCTAAGAATGGGATCACAAGCACATGGAGTGCCTTTATAGCCTTGCCTTCTATGCTAGTTCATACAGTTACCACACAAATCTGTAAGGCAGTGTAATCAGCACCCATTTTCATCACCGAGAGAAAGTGAGGAGACATCTCACCTGAGAAGGAACTGTGGACTTAGAAAGTCTGTAGAAACATCCAAAGCCAGCATCTCTTCACGGTGGGAAGGGCAGTTACGTCAGTGTTTGCCTCACTACATCCTACAGCCTGGGAAGGAAGAGATACCAGCAATGAGTCCAGATACTAGAAATGAAGACACTGGAAGAACGGGTCGCCCGGCGGCGGTGGCGCACGCCTTTAATCCCAGCACTCCGGAAGCAGAGCCAGGTGGATCTCTATGAGTTCGAGGCCAGCCTGGTCTACAGAGTGAGTTCCAGGACAGGTACCAAAACTATACAGAGAAACCCTGTCTCGAAAAAACAAACAAACAAACAAACAAAAAGTAGTCTTAGTTTGAGCAATGAAACCCCAGCTAAAAATATTTTAATCCAAAACAGAAGAAGCCTTCCTTCCATGTCACTGGAAATCCTGAGGGGCAGCAAGCGGTAAAATCCGCCAGCAGGCTGTCTCTTGCTCCCCATCTCTTGATTCAACATCCTTGGTCTAACTGTTCTTGGGCAGCCTCTGTTCTTCAGCAGAAATGGCACCAGTAACTGTAGATTTACATCTTTATGGTGGTCAGTCCTTCTAGGAAGTCACAGTGACTAGAAGTCAGCTCTGCCCATGTATATGGGGAGCAGAGAAATCCAGGAGGGCTTTTCCAAACAGGTGACATGTGCATGCGTGCTGATGAAGTGAGATGATTTCCGATGGGATGGGGTGAGCATTCGTGTCTCTGTGGGACCACTCTGTGGACTGTGAGCCCTCTGGGGCGTTCTGCAGAGCCCAAATTCAGGGGGTGCTGCCCCTTAACAAATCATCTGACGAAAGAACCAAGGTGGAGAAAACCCAGCCCTCTAAGGAAATTAATCGTCTATAATCAAATCTATTGGTTTTCAAATACAGTAACTTTTTTTGATTATCTACATAGTAATCTCTACTGGATCCATGGTCTTGGATGATCAAAATTTAAGATCTAAGAGCTGAACCAGAATGAGAACAGTCTCCCTGGAATGATACTGAACAATCCTAGTAGTTTATTAAATAATTAATCAGCAGCAAATGTTTCCTGTGGAGAGTTCCCACCTCTGCCGGTTTTTGCTGACCTTTCCTCACTCTGCTGAGCATCTCACAGAAGTCTGTAGAGGAGCTGTATGCCTCTCTGCTCAGCCCTCACAGCTCCAGCACTTCAGACCTGTGCTGTTCAGTGGAAAGGTCACAGCCACACACGGCTATCTAAATGAAAGCTAATTAAAATTAAGCACAATCAAGTAACACTACACCTCGGTCTGTTTGTTACCTTGGACAGATTTCCAGAGACGAGCACCTTAGATTGAGAGCAGTCATCACCGTGGGAGACACTGGAGAAGACTGCTTCTGTCACGGCAGAAAACTCCACGGGGTTTGTAACCGGCCCAGCGAGTCCCGAGTCTGCCTTATCACTCAGATTCTGTATTTTAATCACTGCACATTTTCCAAATGGGGGACCAAGAACAGACCAAAGAAAGCATTCCCTTCACGGATAGCTTAGTGAAAGGTTGAGTTTATTAGGGTTACTTCCGGGAGTCGGGCTGCAAGGTTGCTGGAAGGTGGCTGCCACACTGGGAAGCCCACCTCAGCATAGACATGCCTTGTGAAGGCTGCATCTGGGGAGCTACACCACTTAGGGGCAGCTCAGCCAATGAGAGCCACCCTTTCCTCAATGGCTGTCACTGCCATATGACCAGGGGTGGGGGATGGAGGGAGGGAGTGGGGGGGGGGTACTCTTGATACTTGGCACCTTCAGATATTGGACCTTATTTGTTTCTTTTCTCCCTGGTTTCTTCGTAAGTTTTATTTACTTCCTCTGTCTGGTGAGCCCTATTCCCAGGTGGGAATGATCCAGTGTAGGAACTCACGCTGCCCTACCACCTCAGGAGCCATAGTTGTGCCCCACCTCTGGTCTCCCCAGGGCTCTACTTGCCAAGAAGGAAATGCAGAAAGCAAGCTGATGCTTGGCCGCCCTACAGTTCTGCTCTCTGGCCCGGTCACCGGACACAGGTTTATAGCGTCTCCAGGCCTCTGTGCAAAAGTTTTCAGTTAATAAATGGCTTCGACTAATACAAATAAATATTGTCTTATTCTGTAATATCCTGCTTCCTCAAACTCCACTGTCCTTCAAAGAAGGAAGAAGGGAGGGAGGAAGAGAGAGAGAGAGGGAGAGAGAGAGAGGGAGAGAGAGAGAGGGAGAGAGAGAACACTCTTGTCAGCAAACTCCTTACTGAAAATATTAATTCCACTAAAAGCATCAAAAGGGCTTTTTCCCCCTTAGAATGAAAAAAAATTACAGCTGCATAGCAAAATGGAAGGCTTGAATGAGCATTCCAAGTCCTTCTTGTCGTAAGCCATTAGTTGAATTGCTTAAAGAAACCCCTTGACAACTGTAAGTGCTGTTTTTATGTTTGAGAGCTTCATAATGCTGCCCACCAGAAGAAATTTCTCCACAAAGGCTCCTTGTGTTTAATAAAGTGATTTGTTCCGGTGATGGTGATAATGAAATTGCTCAATTGAAACAGGATTGTTCAATGAAGACCTGAATCCAATTTGCTGGACCTGTATGATTACACTTTCAGCTCTGTGTTTACTCATTTGTACAATTGCTGCCAGTCTTTTGATACGAAATTAATAGGATTAATGGTTTTCAAGACCAGCAGGCAGTAACAGGGGACAGAGCCTGTCCACATGCAGCCCAGTGGCTCTGTGCACTGACCTGTGGAGGCTTGCACACCTCACGGGCCGGTTCAGCAGGGTGGCATTTCTATACATATATATCGTGTACATTCCTCATGTTCACCCCAATATGTTATCCTGTTTTTCCTGTCCTCGGAAAGGAGGCTCCTTCTCCAAATGAAAATGATATTTTGAATAATTCCATTTAGGTTTATGTAGATCCCCCACACACACTTTGGGTAGCTCCTCAGGGGGTTGGTGGTGGAGATTTGTGTCCCAGAGAAAACAGGTAAAGACTGGAATAGCGACACCTGGAATAATCTCTTCCTTGGGTAATTCTGAACAAACAACGATTAGTGTTGTTAGTGGTGGCTTAATGACAGAATTGAAATTTGTGAAAGGTCTCATTGCCTGGAAAATTTTCAAGGTCTGGTGTGTGTGTGTGTGTGTGTGTGTGTGTGTGTGTGTGTGTGTGTGTGTTCTAGAAAATATGTGTGTGTGTGTGAGCAAGTGTCTGTGCTCACATACATGGTGTACAGGAGGGTGTCGGGTGTCCTACTCTGTCACTCTACCTTATTCCTTTGAGACAAAACCTCTGACTAACCCTGAAGCTACACAGGTGGCCAGCAAGCCCCGGCCATCCTTGTGTCTCCGCCCGGAGTTACAGGGCCTGCAGCCTTGCACAACGTTTTCACATGGGTGCTAGGGGTTGAAGCTTGGGTCTACACGTACAGAAAGTTTTCTTAGCCACTGAGTTATCTCCTCAGCACCCAAATAATGGGCTTCTTCTTGGCATTTCTATACATATATATCATGTACATTGCTCATGTTCACCCCAATACGTTATCGTTTGCCACCCCCGTTCACACTTGTCCCTTTCTCCCCCCATCAAATAGTCGTCATGCTATTTTCAGATAGATAGATGATAGATAGATAGATAGATAGATAGATAGATAGATAGATAGATAGATAGACAGACAGATAGAGATGACAGATAGACAGATAGTAGACAGATAGATGATAGATAGATAGATAGATAGACAGACAGACAGACAGACAGCCTCTAGGTAGGTGCTGCATCTCTGGTACTATAATGAATGAAGATGTGCTGGCTTGGATTCTTTGGGGGATGCTCAGGAGTGGTATGCCTGGGTCACATGGTAGTTCTAGCTTTTAAAGGACTTTCACGGTAATTTCCACAGTGGCTGCTCCCATGCACGTTCCTCCCCGCAGTGCAGAGGCCCTCCTCCTCTTCCCACACATCCCCCAGCATTTGTTGTTGGGTTTCTCGGGGATAATCGTCAGATTGGGTAAGATGAATCTCGGTGTATTCTTATGTGCATTTTCCTGACAGCTAACACTTTGTACATGTTTTCATATCCTTACTGACCATTTGTATGTCACTTTAAAAGCTGTCCATTATGTATGTCTATTTATTAACTGGATTGTTGGGGTTTTGTGTTTAATCACTGAGTGTTTATATAGCCTAGATCTTAATCCCCTGTCATCTGCATAGCTAATAAAGATTTTCATCCATTCTGAATGCTGCCTCTGAACTCTGTTAATAGTACAAGGCAGTGCATTACCAAGTTGATGCCTCATTATTGGTGGTCTAGTTATGTTGGGTATTTTCAGAAAGGGCTACAGGTAAGCAATGTGAACTAATACTCAGAGGAAAGAAAACCAAGCAAAGGTCCATTAGCTTTCAGTCCTCATCTTTCATTAGCCAAATTTCCTTCATAGCGTTTTCAGCTTCCCTATAGTTGCCATTTGGGACATACATTCTCCAGGGAAGCCCCAGGAGGGGGTGAAGCCCTCTAAAGAGAGAATTCTCTTAAGGAAATCAACTCTCCAGATGACATCAGCACTCACTGTGGAGGACAAATCCCTCTAAGGAGGCCAGAACCTTCCCTGGGGAAATCAGAAACCCACCAATCTCCCTGGGACAACAGATGAGGCCTTCACTGTTGTGTTCCTCTAGGGGCTCAACGAAACCCATGCCAGAGCCCAGCCTCCATCCACAGGAAGGCTAAAGCAACCACAAGCATTACAAAATGCGGTGGTGGAGGCTAGACCTTTACAGGGCCTCGCTCACTGGGGTTGGTGTAGCCAGGAAGCAGGGGAAATGACCGTGGAAGTGGGCAGGCAGAGTGCCAATCTAGACAGTGCAGAAGCCACATGAGCGCAGTGGCAAGTGAAGTAGATTCGCTTTCCATAAATAAAGAAAACTGTTTTTTCCCAGAATTTGATTTCATTTAAAATTGTCAACATAGTGTCTCCTAATCCATGATCTGCTTTGATCCAGGATTAACATCACCCAGCTCATGTTTGCGGCTGTTGGAGGGATCTCTGCTAAAAGTGACTGGTTGAGTAAGTGAGCGAGGGACTGCTTAGTCACTTAGCTCAGCACATCAACTTTGCCAGCTCCTCTGCCATCCAGCTCTACCTGGATCTACAGAGTATGAGCAAGACACTATAAATCTTATTTTGCCTTAAAAAAATAATATTCCAGAGTCTTGTAATAGCATTTCCAATCTCACAGTTTAGTTCAGAAAAAGTCAAATAGTTTCCACTTGGCTCACACTCCCTGAACTTAATTGGTACGTCTTTAAAGATTTTTAAAATTTAATTATGTGTATGCATGTGCATCTATGTGAGGGCGTGTGCATTTGAGTGTATGTACCTGTGGCGGCCAGAAGATGGCATCAGACACCCTGAATCTGAAGTTTTAGGTGGTGTGAGCCACCCAGTGTAGGTGCTGGTAACCAAACTTGGTTCCTATGGAAGAGCAGCAAGCGTTCTTAACCACTGGGTCATCTCTATGGCCCCAAATCGACACATCTGGAGTTTTGGTGTTGGTATCAAAGTATTACGAGGAAAATAATTTGATGTGTACATTTCTATCCTCACTATAGTGTCCTGTATCTGACTTCCCTTCCACTACTGAGCAATTTCAAATTTTTATTCTTTTGAAACAGTCTTAACGGGTGCCCTAGTTATAAAGTCCTTAATTATGCCTCTGCATAGGAAACATAATTTTCCATTCAAGTTGGTATATAGAAATTTTAATTTGTGGGCATATTTTCTCTGAGTTAAAGTCTTCACTTTGCATGCTAGTTTAAGACCATGGAAAAGAGCAACAAGCTGAAGTCACACAAAGCAGTCTCTCTTTCTTTGAATTTTTTTAATTATTATTTGCGTTTGGTGTTTGGTCTATATGCATGTCTGCGTGAAGGAGTCAGATTCACTGGAGCTTGAGTTATAGATGGTTGGGAGTTGCCACATGGGTGCTAGGAATTGAAACTTGGTCCTCTGAAAGACCATCTTTCTAGCCCCACAAAGCAGTTTTAATAACAGGAAGAAAAATTATGATGACCCCATAATGTAAAATTTTGTCCAAATATTGAAAAACTTTCTTTCTGGTGCTGGAAAAATGGCTCGCTCAGCAGTTAAGATATGTATGCTCTTCCAAAAGAGGCATCTTTGGTTTTCAGCACCCATGTTGGAAGGCTCACAGCCATCTGAACTCTAATCCCAGGGGAGCCAACACTCTCTTCTGGACTTCTCAGGTCAGGCACCCACAAATACACATGCACATATATGCACATGTACACATAATGGAAAATAAATAAAACTTTCCATAAGTGGTAAGCATATAATAAAATGAAAAATAAAAAAATGATAGAATCTAATATTTACTTAGTACACTGTGATTAGAAAACAGAAACATTAATGTGTTTCATTGCTTTATATAAAAAAATTAAGAATACTAAAATAGACAGTGAGATAGTTCAAACACATAAAGGTACCAACACTATGTCTGATGACCTGAATTCAATTCCCAGGACCCACGTGGTGTAAGAAGAGAGCCATCTCCCATAGCATGTGTATACACACACACACACACACACACACACACGCACACACACACACACACACACAGTGTGCACATGCATGCATATAGAGAGAATGCCATGAAATAAGAATGCTAACACATCACTTGCCTTCTTCTCCAATCACATAACCGCTTTTCCACGCTCCACACATTGCTGTTCACTTTTCTAAGTACACAGCAGTCCTCAAGCCTCAGAAACACAGTTTTGCACTTTTTGTGAAGTCAAATGTCTCCATTGATGTCGTGAAAGATCTCTGTCACTCCGTCTGGGACACGCTCATCTTTCCGTCACGAGCACTTTCTTCATGGGTGGTTGGGTCTCCCTCAAGTCCCTCTGGAAGCACACTGAGAGTCTGTGCAGTGCATGTGTGACTGCCTCTCCATCTGCTGTGCCCCTGGATCTGCGCTTGTGTGACATCTCTAACTCCGCCCTTCATCTCCAGGATCCAGTGTGTGGAGGAGGAAAGCTGCTCACTTCAT